CCCCCCCCCTCTCTCTCCACCTAGAACAAAAAAAAGTTTAGAAAATGGTGCCATCAAGCCTGCTCTGTATAGAGGGGATTTGTATCAGCTGGGCTGCACACCGCAGGTGAAACAACGACCACCCCTCGGTCAAATGCTGTGCTTCACCAACACCCATGCTGCCCCCCCCGAGCTGCCCCCTACAGCAACCCCTGGACCAGCACACTTGCATCCACAAACCCAGCCCCCAAGCAGATGTGATCTCTAATCAGGCCCTCAGATGCCACCGCAGCACCTGCGCTGAGGAGTGTGCGCATGCTACCTCACCAACCTGAAGCCTCCTTCATATTATAACCTGCCTAAGACCTGTCACCTCTCTATTTACCAGCTATCTTATCACCAGGTCTACATTCCCTCTTCCCACCTGTTTCTCACCCATTGACTGCCTCAATTTGCATTTTCACTGACTGGCATTCTCTCTCGCTGGTTTCTATGATCTCCCATCTAGGAAGAGCACAGACCAACTGCAGGCTTCCCCGGCCTGTCAAATGGTGTTTGTATCCAAAAAGCTTGCAAAAAAAGAATTTGTCCAACGATTTTAGTTGTTCTAATAAAAGATAACACATTTCCCCAAAGAACCTTGCTTGTCTCTACCCAACAAAGACTCCAGCAGAGAAGCAGATTGCACCTTTGAGTGAGCTGCACAAATACCCCTTTGGCAATACAGACAGCCACCCCCACCCCACCAAATTGCACTGCCTTGGTTGTTACATACTGGAACCCGTGAGAAGGATCATTAGACAATTAAAACCCTTAATGGAAAAAAGATCAGACCCTGAGAGAAATATTCCCAACACCCTGCCTTCAAGAAACCCCCAACCCTCGCCCAACTCATCCTCAGAAGCAAACTCCCCTCCATTCAACAGACCCCAAATGCAACAGTAAATGCAAAGGCCCTGCCAGTCCATCTCCAGCACAACACTCAGCACCTCTCCTAACAAAGCTATCAGCATCCAGGGATCCTATGCATCCCAGAACGCGCTGTCTCTCATTCAGTGTACCAGCTGCCCTCACGGAAACTATGTGGGTGTAGATAAATGGGAAGGATGCACCAGAATGAACTCCATGCATAAAAAAACCAAAAAATAGAAAGGACAGAGATGCACAAACAGCAGTAGGAGCTCATTTTCTATTCCCTCTCTAGCCTTACAATTCTCATGCTCAAAGGGAATTTACAGATCACTCCCAGAAAATGGGCCTGGGAACAGAAATTCATCACCCTACTGGGCTGTAAAAAAAAAAAAAAAAAAAAAAAAAATCAGGACTCAATACATGGTTTTATGGCCCGTGGCAGGGTAGACGTACCTTATAGACACCCTAGGTAAGAAACATATGGAGCACAAGCTTTCATTAGCTCAAGTTCACTTCATCAGATGCTGACCACACTCACAAAAGCTTGCTGATTCAATGAGCTGTTCTACTGCACCTATTTTGTCCTGATAACTGCTCCAACTCCTAGCTCCCAGTCCTCCTCCATCTCTCCCTCCAAGCAGAGCATGTGGATTTGCAGGGAAGCTGCCCGCCGATACAGAGAGGCAGTCGGTTGAGCTGTGTTTCTCAGACTACTTGATACCTGATGGCTCGGTCAACAGCTCCCCCAAGTACACAGCTGGCCCAGTGAGAGAGCACTAAAAATCCATGCATTGCCCAGACCAACACAGTGACATGGTATTAAAAATCCAGCTCAGTATTCATGGCACCCCTGCTGTAACAAGCCCTGGTGACCACAGACCTCTGGGCAATATGGGGAGACTGTACGATGATGGCATAGGCCCTTTGGCTCACAGGGACACACAACAAACCAGTATGCACCTACTTTTTGGCTGGGATGATCTAGTTGGAGTGGACTAGATGACCTCCAGAGGTTCCTTCCAACCCTAACTTTCTATGACTTTACCTTGCAGGCACAGACAACAATCCTGCTGTAAGCTGGCGTTTTTGCAGGCCCCTGGTGCCCCTACTCCAGCACCCAAAAGCTGAAGCACAAGCCTGTGTTCGTGTGGTGGGGGACGAGCATCAGTCCCATGAGCCCCATGGCACCAGCCCCTACCCATCATGCCTGTGGGATGCGGTGGGAAGCCTCAACCCTGACCTGGGGCATCTGTTCCCGTGTCCTGATGTGTCAGGGCAGAGGTCCTTCTCCAAGGGCAGCATTGGGTGAGGCGGGGGTGGGTCCGGGGTTCCTGCTAGGGCTTCCTAGCAGCACCCAGGTGCTTGGGGGGCCTCCTCCATGACACAAAGCAACCCACTACCTCTGTTCTAGCTCCCCCACAATGCATGTCCTGCCTCGGGAACGGGACTAGGGTGAGGAGTTGTGAGTGCATGGGGGGGAAGGAGTTTGGGCTCTGCTGGGTCATAATGGGGAAGGGCTATGGGGAGATGCCCGTGTGTTGGGGCAGGGGAACACCACCTCATAGCCCCTAGGGAGTGATCCCCCCCAAGCCCTGGGGGCACAATGGGGGGGTGGGGGCCAGGCTGAGGTACCCCTCCACCCCTTCAACATTTGCTCCTTCTGCAGTATCCCCTCAACTGCCCCCCCCAGGTGTCACCAAGGATCCCCCAGCCCCTCTGCCCAGGGGAGCCCCCCTTAGAGTTAGCCCCAGCCCCAGGTGACCATTCGGACCCCACCACCTCAGGTAGCCATTAGGTTAGCCCCACCCCAGGTGACCAATTAGCTTAGCTCCATAATCCACGTCCCTTCTGACCCTAGCATCTAGTCCCACCCACTCAGGTGGCCATTTCCAGCCCCTCCCCACAACTGCCATCCCTGCCTTGCAGCCACTCCCAGGACTCTGCCCCTCCCCGACCCATGATGCCACACCTGCTCTGCCCCTGTTGATTGGTTGCCTTTTCACCCCCTCGTGTCCATCCCCCTCCCTGTCTCTCTCATTCATGCCCACGCACACGCACGGTCACGTCACAGCCCTCCGTAGCAATTGGTGCATCCGGGGGCATCTCCCCATCAAGGGCAGGGCCCATCCCCATGGAGCGCATCACCCATGTGCTGCGGTTGCCCCTGATGCCCCTGACAAACGGACCCCTAGGGTCTCAGTCAGACCCCCCTTGGTGAGAACAGCCAGGGAAGCAGGACAGGCAGTCGTGGGCCTACCCACAGAACCTGGTGCTTGTGCTGGGCAACCCCAGATGCTCTCTCTCTCCGTGCCTGGGGCTCTGCTGGTGATGCCAACAGAGATGTAGAAGCTGCAGCGGGGACTGAGGGACCTCCTAGGGTCATGGCAGGTCAGGCCGGATCCACCTGAGGCCTGGTCCAGGCTTGCGGTCAGACCGATGGCAGAGTGGTACGTGCCAGCTTGCCAGGAAAAGTGGCAGGTTCTGCTGGACACCTCGCTCTCCTCGGAGGGCAAGCTACACCTCTAGCACCGAGGAGAGGGCACAGCTGCAGGGGTGTTTAATGGATTAATGCTTTGGGGAGCAAGGGAGTGAGGACGTCCCCTTTGAGGGTGGCAGGGGTGACAGTCAGGACACTGGGGTTCTACCCCAGATGCCCCCTCTCCCCATCCCCCAACGCCCCTCTGCTTAGGGGCTCTGCTCCACACTTCCTCCAAGCAAGAAGCTCAAACTCTGCTGCTTCAAAGAGACCAAAATGCCTTAATGAATCCCACACTGTGAACAGCAAAACCACTTAGAAAAAGCCCACCCCTCTCCCTTGGTCCCTGGCAGTAGGGACCCTCTCCCAGTGCTAAGATGGGGAGGATAAAGCAGTGGGTGGCACCCGTCTGGGATGTGCTTGGGGGGGAGGGGGCGGGGTCTGTGCTCAAGTCACTGGGAGCCCAAGGCAAAGAGGGGCATCCCCTGCATGGCCCCAGTGAGGGCGGGACAGAAGTCTGTGTCCAGGGGGCAGCACCCCCTGCCCTGGGTGGGTGTTGGAGGAGGGGAGGGCTCCCCATCTCATGGGGGACCCTGCCTCTGCTCTCCCCAGCAGCTCCAGCATCTGTAGAAAAGGAGATGCAGCAGTGGGGCAGAAGCAGGACCCCCTTGCCATCCAGACTGAAGGAAACCCCCTACTTCTGTTCCTTGGTGGGGGCGTAGTACAGCTCCAGGGGCTTGCTGACCTTCCAGTACTTCTCGTTCACCAGCTCCAGGGTGAGAGAGCCGTTCAGGGTCTGGGCACGAGAGAAAGTGAGGAAAGGAATGAGACACAGGCTGGGAAGGGGTAGGGGCAGCCCCGCAGCTCAGCACCCCGTTGTGCGACAGGCAGCCTGGACACCCCCAGCCCCCGCTTCGTACCGTGAAGGCCCCCCCTGGGGTGGTGATGTAGATTGTGTACTGCTTCTCGCTCACGTCCTCCAGGCCGGGGGCCTCAGGCCCCGGCGCCGGTGTCTCCTCCAGCGCAATGCGCAGGGCCAGGTACTTGGAGAGGTGGTCAACCGTGGCATTGGCTGTTGTCTTCACGTACCTGCCAGGCACAGGGGTGGGCTGTCAACCACGGGCTCTCATGGGGGTAAAGCTTATGGAGGGGCTTCAGGCAGAGGATTGGGTAGAGCTGGTGGGCGAGTGTCACAGCCCCTTGCCTCCAGCATGGGGGATGAGGGCAGAGTGTGAGGGCTCCATTTCAGGGGGTGCTGCACCCTGCTCACCAGGGCTGGGAGCCAGGACGCCTGGGGTCCCCCTTCCCACACCAGCAGAGATGGGCACGCTTTAGGGGAAGAGGAAGGCATACTGAAGGCCCAATTTGGGGGGCTGGGGGTGTGTCTCCCCCCTCACCTGGTCTGGGAGTATTCACCCTTCTCCACCAGCAATGGGTGGGGCCGGAAGACCAGCTCAATCTCACTGCTGCCTGGTTCAGCACCTGGCTCAGGGCTGCCGCGGCCCCCACCCTCATGGGACGTCTCAGGGTCGGGGTCTGGCCCAGAGTCGTCAGAAGCGCGGGAGCGCTTGCGGCTGGGCCCTGCCTCCGGGTGGCTGGGGGCCGAGGCGTTGCTCAGGTGTGAGCGGCTGTCGCAGTTGTCCTCCCCGCCGCTGAACGTGGTGTTGTCTGACTCCTGGTGTAGCTTCCGCACCCGCTGGGCCCTGCGGGGTGCAATGGAGGGGGTCATGGCCAGGGCAGGGTGGAGACAGTACCCAGGGAAGCTGCCAAGCTTGATGGGGGGTGCAGAGAGACTCGCTGGCCAGGGGGAGCCAACCTTGAGGATCCCTCATGCCAACCTTTGCTGTGAAGGCAACGTAGAAACATCATGGCTCCAAACCAGCAGCTCTGAAAGTCTAGGGCAAGACCCCAGGAGGGAAACAGGTGGTGGGGAGGGCAGGGCACCCCATGGACAGCCAGGTATGAAGCCCTGTGAGCTGCACCCCCAGTGGTGCACAGACGGCCATCCCTACTGTCTCACGACAAGAGGGGTCCCTCATTAGCTACTCCACTATTGCTGTTCTGCCCAAGGGACCAGCTGCTCCTGTCCCTGGGACCCCAGTTGAGGCAGGGTTTGTCCCCTTGCAGGAGACAGCCCTCTCTGGTGTAATGCTATGGGCACCCCCATATCAGCCTATCTTCCAGAGCGGTCATTAGATCCCAGGGTCGGCATCTGGGAGCTTCAGCTCCATCAGGGACAGGTGAAAACTCCAGCCCTTTTAGGACAGAGGGGAGAGAACAGCAGAGGAGAAAGCTGGGCCATCCCAGGCCTGGGAAGTGTGGCGCCAGGACCACCCCCACCCCTGCACCTGTGCATGGCTTGCATCTTGAGGCCCTCCTCGATGCTGCTGCTAAGAGCCTGCTGGTTGTGCAGGCGGCTGAGCTTGGCCAGCACCCGGTCCTGATGGGCCTCGTACTCGTCCCGGCTTGGGTAGATCTTGGAGATGAGGGCGTCAAAGTTGGGGTCTGGCCGCAGCGAGCGCTTCGACACCAGCTTCTTTCGGCACGTCGGGCACTCCTTGTTCCTGCCGGGGTGGGGGATCCACCGCTGGGCGGGATGCCTTACCACGCAGCCCTCCGACTGCCCCTGCCCCGGGCACTCCCCGCCCCCCC